GACCAAAAAGACATGCCCTAAACAAACACAAACACAATCCACACCAAACTAAAGTTAGGGAGTAAGGGCTAACTTTAAGTCCATTCATACACGGTTGTTTCATAACTCTTCCACTCTAACCTTGGCATGTGCATTATTTGCAACACCCCGCTTATCAGAGTAAATTTTTCGCAACTTTTAATTCGAAAATACTTATAAATTTTTCGAAATCTTTTGCGCTTAACTCGGGATGCTACTAAAATTTATCTTTTCTTTTTTTTTTTCCCGAAACGATAGGTTATATTATAAATCAAAATGCACAAATGTGTGAATACACAAATGGAACAACAGCCAACGACTGAGAAAGTGGGAGGACAGGTCAGAAGACCGCCTAGAGTCCCGATACTAGCAAGGCTAGAATAACAATCCAACTACACAAACAACACAATCCCACTACACAAACTAAAAAACTAAAACAACTAAAAAGATCCCACCGGGATAATACCCGAGTGTCTGATCCCAACAGGATAATAAGTTGACACCCGGGCTCACAGGGACCAACGGCCCAGACCAAAAAGACATGCCCTAAACAAACACAAACACAATCCACACCAAACTAAAGTTAGGGAGTAAGGGCTAACTTTAAGTCCATTCATACACGGTTGTTTCATAACTCTTCCACTCTAACCTTGGCATGTGCATTATTTGCAACACCCCGCTTATCAGAGTAAATTTTTCGCAACTTTTAATTCGAAAATACTTATAAATTTTTCGAAATCTTTTGCGCTTAACTCGGGATGCTACTAAAATTTATCTTTTCTTTTTTTTTTTCCCGAAACGATAGGTTATATTATAAATCAAAATGCACAAATGTGTGAATACACAAATGGAACAACAGCCAACGACTGAGAAAGTGGGAGGACAGGTCAGAAGACCGCCTAGAGTCCCGATACTAGCAAGGCTAGAATAACAATCCAACTACACAAACAACACAATCCCACTACACAAACTAAAAAACTAAAACAACTAAAAAGATCCCACCGGGATAATACCCGAGTGTCTGATCCCAACAGGATAATAAGTTGACACCCGGGCTCACAGGGACCAACGGCCCAGACCAAAAAGACATGCCCTAAACAAACACAAACACAATCCACACCAAACTAAAGTTAGGGAGTAAGGGCTAACTTTAAGTCCATTCATACACGGTTGTTTCATAACTCTTCCACTCTAACCTTGGCATGTGCATTATTTGCAACACCCCGCTTATCAGAGTAAATTTTTCGCAACTTTTAATTCGAAAATACTTATAAATTTTTCGAAATCTTTTGCGCTTAACTCGGGATGCTACTAAAATTTATCTTTTCTTTTTTTTTTTCCCGAAACGATAGGTTATATTATAAATCAAAATGCACAAATGTGTGAATACACAAATGGAACAACAGCCAACGACTGAGAAAGTGGGAGGACAGGTCAGAAGACCGCCTAGAGTCCCGATACTAGCAAGGCTAGAATAACAATCCAACTACACAAACAACACAATCCCACTACACAAACTAAAAAACTAAAACAACTAAAAAGATCCCACCGGGATAATACCCGAGTGTCTGATCCCAACAGGATAATAAGTTGACACCCGGGCTCACAGGGACCAACGGCCCAGACCAAAAAGACATGCCCTAAACAAACACAAACACAATCCACACCAAACTAAAGTTAGGGAGTAAGGGCTAACTTTAAGTCCATTCATACACGGTTGTTTCATAACTCTTCCACTCTAACCTTGGCATGTGCATTATTTGCAACACCCCGCTTATCAGAGTAAATTTTTCGCAACTTTTAATTCGAAAATACTTATAAATTTTTCGAAATCTTTTGCGCTTAACTCGGGATGCTACTAAAATTTATCTTTTTTTTTTTTTTTTCCCGAAACGATAGGTTATATTATAAATCAAAATGCATAAATGTGCGAATACACAAATGGAACAGCAGCCAACGGCTGAAAAAGTGGGAGGACAGGCAGAAGACCGCCTAGAGTCCCGATACTAGCAAGGCTAGAATAACAATCCAACTACACAAACAACACAATCCAACTACACAATCAAAAAAACTAAAACAACTAAAAAGATTCCACCGGGATAATACTCGAGTGTCTGATCCCAACAGGATAATAAGTTGACACCCGGGCTCACAGGGGACCAACGGCCCAGACCAAAAAGACATGCCCTAAACAAACACAAACACAAACCACACCAAACTAACAAAATATCAACATAAAACAAAAACGAAGCAAAACAAGACGAGCCCTTCCTAAGCAGCTTAACCAAGCAGAACCGGTGGATACCAAGTCGACCCCGAGTGAATACCACAGCCACAGGACCGACCCGAAACTGCCCAACACCAACTCGGTGGCCTAACGAAGTCGAAATCCAAGCCCCAGAACAACACTCGAAATCAGACTCAAACTACTACCACAACACCCAAGAAGCCTCAGGATCGCCACGTGGCCGGACTCCCTAACACCACTAGCTAGTCCAACCACAGCCGGTGAACCCCGGAACCACGAAGATGCCGAGGTGGCAGCCACGTCCCCTACAGCCCGAAGCCACCACAATTCTCCACCCACCACTGCCCCTCCTCGGCCATCACCACTAGCCGGAAGACAGAGCACCGGTTACCCCAAACCCAACGCCAGAGTAAGGGGAACAGGAATGAAAAACCGCAGAGGAGCTCCGGCCATCCGATGCCGTCGTCGTCGAACAACCGAGGCCCCACCAACCCGACCGAACACACCCACACCACCATCGCCGCGACCCAGGAAGTCAATTAAAAGAACGGGCGAGCCGGCAACTGAAAGCCGACGTCATTCAAGAGATGAGAGCTTACCTGAAATCGAGCAACGAGGGCGACTCGTGAAGCCAGGCGGAGGCTAGGTGGCCAAAGGACGACCACCGATTCATACACAATCGCCGCTAAGGAAGGCTAATTGATACGGATTGAAGGGGATCGGGAGCTTAGGGTTTGGGAGAAGGAAAGGGGATCGAGAGAGATATCGTAGTTAAACGTGCTTTAAAAGTTTAAAAAACATATAACCAAACCGAAAATATAAATCTTTTAACCAAAAATTTTAGTTTGGTCGGTTTCAGTTGCTATTGTTTAATCTGGTAGTTATTAATGTGGAAACTGTCTAACATTATTGTGCACTCGCACTGCATGCATGTTTTATGATATTCCCCAAACCAAACTAAAACCGAATGAATAGTTAGTTTATAACCAATTTAACATAATTAATCGAAAAAAATTTATAATTTATATTATAAAAATATTTTTAGTAGTTAGTTTTTTATTTAATATTTTATATTGTTTTTGGTTGTAAAGACCTAAAATGTATAAATAACAAAATAATATTTTTTTCATATAATTTGATCGGTTCGGTTATTTTAAAAAATAAAATTGACATCAAACCTAAATAACCAAGAGTTTAAAAGTAAAAAATGATAATAGTACTAAAATATAAAATTCAGATACAAAAACTTAGTTTAGTCTGTTTCGGTCGCTATAGTCCAACCTGACAGTAATATACAATCAGTTTAACACCAATGTGCACTGGAAGTGCAGTCATTTTTTTTGTTGATTTATCACAACCCAAACTATAAACAAAATAACCAGTTTATTTGATCGGTTAATCGAATTAACCTAAATAGTCGAAATAATTTGTAATATATACTATAAAAATATATTTAGTATTTTAATGTTATTATTTAATGATTTATACAATTTTTTGGTATATATATATAACACAAACATAATATTTTTATATAGTTTGATCGGATCTGTTAGTTCGATTTCTTAAAAGATAACCAAAATTTTAAAAGTAAAAGTAGCGAATCAGTGCAATTTTGATTTTTCACGCGGGATCACTATGTTATGGTAATGTGGGTTCTCGAAATCATTAATGTGCATTCAATGTATCAATCTTTGTGCAGTCTGCATTGCAATACATGTAATTTTAATATTCATATCCATAAATTACATATAAAAATTTTGAAGTATTGTTCATTTTAGGTATCATTAATATGCATTTATTAAAATTTTGTTATAAACTATATATTTTTCCATGAACTAAATTGCAAAAAAATCAAAATTTTATGATGAAATTACAAATATGTCTCTGAACATTATCTAATTTTCAAAAAAAAACAAAAAAAGTCAATAACACCCCTAAACCCCTAAATCAATTTGCAGGTTCTTATCTAATTTGAAAGCACCTCTGGCAAGACCATCTTCGGCTCAACTGGGACCGTAATGCCCAAAATTAACGGGCTCTCCGACGACTCCGATGCGGCCACTGTCGGCCGCCAGGTGTAGGGGCATCGTGCGACCGTTCAAGTCGGGCTCGCTGGTGAGCTCTAGCCCCCGGGTTGACCGAAACTGCAACGCTGGACATGAGAAGCTCTCCGACGATGCGGTGTGGCCCCTTTCGACCACCAAGTGCAACAATGATGGCGGCGGTGGCGGTGGACATGGGTGACGAACAGTTCTGTTACAACAATGACAAACAGAGCTACCGGCCTCCGCAACGGAAGTTTGACAGTCTGGCAGTGCTGGAGTAGCGGCCTCGGAGAAGTCGAAAGCGGTCGGCGACGCTGGGGGGCAGAGCTGATGTGGATGGTAGGGCCGAGAAGGGTGTTACTATGTGTGTACTTGTGTGCGTTGTGTGTGTGTGTGGTGCATGCAAGAGAGTGGGTGGTGGGTCCCACTAGTGAGTTAGTGGGGTGAAATTGGGTAGGGTGAGTTGGTGTTGGGTGGAGCCCACAGATTGGTTGGGTAGGAAAATTACCACATTGCCTTTAATGTGTTTAAAATTTGGAGTTTTTTTTTAGTTGTTAGATCATTTGATCCTATGGCTAAAACTTATTCTTATTTCTTTTATTAAGCACCACTTTCACCGGAGTGTGAAATAATATATAACATAAACACCTATTCTTAGTCTGACATGCAATTTGTCATGATTAGCGATATTAATATGTCTACTAGAATAAAGAATAATTAAATTTTAATTTAAAATTGAATTATGTAGAAATGTTATTTGGGTGATGTCATTTATGACCATTACATAATTCCAGACGAGGGCTAAGGGCGAGTCATCCCTTTCAGAGGTGGCTGGCATGGACAGAATGAAAACTTCATTCCCCATTCTACGAGAATTTTTATGAAAGCCTTTCATTAGCTTCTCTTGGATGGAAGTTTGATTTTCCCCGAATGTATCCTAATTTTTGGCCTAATTCTTCTTCTGATGAACTCGGCCAATAGCCGAATCTAGTGAGAGGACACCCCGAAGAGAGCATAAGCACCACAATGCACCCACGAAAATAACTAACTCCCAACAGGAGAATCTAGATCCCAAATGGATAATAACACCAAAGTAGAAAAAAAAAAGAGAGAAACACAGACAAAAACACAGACAGAAGCACACAAACAGAAACACAATAGTCAAAAAAATAATGCCCTTCTCACAGCCAGACTCCGCCAAGCAACCTTAATAGTAACACCACGGCCGACCACCAAAACAGGCCGGTCCACGACCCAAATTTTAGCACCAGAAACTTCCACACAAGCCTAACTAGAGACGAAACCTTAGACCCCAAACCCGCGCCCTAGCAGCCAACCCCAACCCCTCAGTCGGAGGACAACCGAACAGTTCCCCCGCCACTCCCCGACCACCTCGTTCCCAGCCCACACCACGGTTGGGCCTGACGTGTCGCCCATCCCATCCTCCCTAACACCATGGGAGAAAGGAACAAGTGGGAGGAAGTCCGCCAACCTTCACCCCAACCACCTAACTGACAATCAGCCCACAGCCTGCCCCCGCAGCAGCCGATGACCTTCATCCAAGTATGGCAGTCGGATCAGGCGAAATCCACTCAAGAGGCAACCCCAACACCAAATTGAGTCTGCGTTAGACAACCACGAACAAGCCACCATCGAGGAGCTTGGTGGCCTTGCCGGAGAAGGCAAGCGAAAAATAAATTAGGGCACACCGTTGGAATTTTGGAGGAAAACGAAGGGAGAGAAAGGTCTGCATTTTCTCTCAGCTTAAATCATTTTCAACCCATGACACTAAAGAAATGTCTATCTTATTTAATAAGATAAGATATATATAGGAGTTGGTTCAAATAAAAACTGGTTCTGGTGTGAGAACCGTGAGAACCATATTTGATGCTATTTTTAATATTACATGATGCTATCATTTTCACAAATTTAATATAATTTGTGTTGCTATTTTTATAAAATACATCCTAGTTAAAAATAGCACTAAAGCACAATCAATCATAGGACTTTATACTGTTAAAAATAGCGGTTCTCACGCTAGGACTTGGTTTTCAATTGAACTATATATATATATATATATTATATATACACAGAAAAAGAAAATTGTCCTCACAACTATATTGTTGTATATATTTTCTCACCACAACCCTAATATTATTTTTCTGTGTTTTTGGTGAGAATGATTCTCAGTAAAAAAATAAGAATACATCGNCACTCATTTGAGGTATTTTGTACATTACCCCTACCCAGCCAACCCGCGGGACCTACCCACCACCCCATCGTCTCTCTCTTTCCCTCTCTGTTCTCTTCTCGCCCAAATTGTCGACCTCCACCATTCCCCACCACTGCCACCCACCACAACGCTAATCGCAACCCAATCTCCACCGCTGTGTGTGGCAGCTGGGCAAGTCAGAAATTGTTTCAAATCCGGTGTCTATGAATTAATCCCACAAAATTCATCATCAGCCAGAAATTGACCATGTAAGTGTTATATACTGAAAGTTTAGATTTGGATGATATTGCACTTTTACCCTTTATGGATGAGAATCATGTTAGATTAAACAAGTTCTATGTTCTGTTGTTTTGCACTTAGATAGAATGAGTCGTCATCGGGCGAACATAAGATCATTCTATCAGTTATTTGCGAAACAAGAATTGTGGTTCACAACCTAGATGGAAATGAATACTCCATCTGAACGGTTGTAGTGTCAACGGTACAGTAGGTCTTGGTTGATTAGTTGCACTAGTACATTTATATATTGAACAGGATCCCAGAGAGGAGAAGTTCATTTTATACCGATCGTCGTAAACGAACTAGGCCTTGGTTAATTACTGCGTTCTTTTAACCCGTAAGATATTAAACAGACATATATATGCAGTACATATTACTTTGATTCACTTGGGTGAGGTTCAGTTCGCTGGATTAATATTCCTACTGTCTTGGGTAATATTGTTGTATGTATGATGTGTTGTTAGGATATTTACGGTCACCATGAACGTTTAGTTTGATTATGTCCCCGAAGTGAGTTCATGAAGGATTGTTGTGCTAAATCTTGCAGGTGGATTAAGTTCCAGCATAATAATAATGTGATAAACGAGCGCAAGCTTCGGTGAAATAAATAATATATTAATTAATTTTTGATTGTCAGTAATTGAATTAATTAATGGACATTATATCTTAAACATGGGGAGGTAAATCGGATAATTATTATTGGAGTCTCAAATGTAATTTGAGCTAGGAAAAGGGAGTGCAATAATATTACGTTAGTAGACCGTAATATTATTTAAGTAATTGGAAGAGTAGGTCTGGCCTACAGTTAGTCCATTACTAAAGAAGCCCTATTCCTAATCTCCTAAAGATCCCTACTGTAGCTCTATATATACATCATTAAGCTCATGAGAAGAGATCCATCAATCACATCTAACGTGAGAATCGACCGTCTCCTCATCTCTCTCTCTCTCTAGATCTCATTCGAGCTTTATCTTCTTCTTGTTGCTCCACCGATACAAGTTGAAGAGGTGTAAGAGTGATACAGTAAAAGATCCCAAAGGTAGTCGAGACCCCGTGATCATCTACTGGAGCCGACGAACCACGACTCAGAGGCCAAGGACCGCCGACCCCGACCAGCTGGATCGCCGCCGACCCCAGTCGGACCGCCGCCGTGAGACAACGTCATCGACGGCCAGCCCCAGTGACCCACACGACACGCGCACACGACCTGACGATCCCGCTCCGTCCATTCGTGTGCTGTTCCCGGTCACCCTGAATCCGACAGATTCAGAAAATTTTAAGCCGTAAGTTTTCTACATCAAACCTTTAGATTCGTTGCGCATATGCTTACGTTTGCTATTGAATTTGTAACTTATACATAACGAGATCCTCATAGATTCCAATAGACCCCTCCGTCATCCATACTGGCGGCAGCGCCGCTGAGGCCCTCGAAGATGACCTGGATATTCGCGCCCCTAGATTGGAGGCCATTGATGTGGTTGTTGAGGAAGGCGGATAGGTTGAACTTGTCAGGGTATCGAGCAATGAAGAGAACGAACAGATCCTCGAATCCTCCGCCGCCTCCAACAATGTACGGGAAGGAGAACACATTGGCGCCGGGGGAGGTGGGTAGGGCGAAGAGGATAGTCCACTTCAATCGAGGCCCACGCATAGCTCGCCGTCGCAAAATCTAAATTTGGGTTGGGCTGTTGTTTGGAAATTAGATAAGACACAAGGGCTTATATAAAAATATAATAAATACACAATAGCAGTGTTAAGTAAAATGCACAATTTTGTATATGCATATTAAAAGGTCACAAATTTACCAAAATATTAACACACTATGCACAATAGTGTTTTACAATTTGCGCACTGATGCTTGTGAGAATGCACATTAGCAAAACAGTTTGCGCAATGACTAAAATGCTCCCGCGTAAAAAATAAAAAATAAACATAATTACATTAATGACACCGTCCTTTTTACCAAAGTTGAAGCCTTTGTTTTATCACATCCAATGGATACAATTCACTTTTAAATCTTTCACTATCACTCATTTCCATTTGATCCTACTAGAGAGGCCTTAATTATATAAAAGTTTTTTATTTTTAATATGGTCTATCATGTTTTGATCTTATTTCAGTATATATTATTAATTTGTCATTATTTATTTATTTATTTATTATNTGGGTACAAATGTGCAAAAGTACAACCACCAGCTAAATTCAGTCAACCAACATCTAAATACAGACAACCAACAACACTCTAGAAACACGAAAAAACACTACGACACTAAAAGCTCCCAAAGGGAGAATAAAAAAACGAAAGAAAAAGAAACAACCCCAACAGGGTAATACATGAGTGTACGATCCCAACAGGATAATAAAGTCACACTCAGGCTAACCAAAGCCAACGGCCCAAACCTAAAACACAAACACAAATACAGACAAACACCAAACGATCGAAAAAACAAATACTAATATAGAGATAAATCAACTAAATACTACAATGAACGCCCTTCCCCAGCAAACAAACGGATTGAGACCCTCAGAGAACCAATCAATCTGAGAAAGATCCTAAGCCCAAGCATGACTTCCGAAACTGCTGCCGAACGCCTATACAGAAGCATAACCCGGACCCTGAACCTAACCCGAATTGACCCACCTTCAACCGAGACAACCAGCCAGCTCCCCAAATCAGCCCCGCACGAACTCGCCTAACACCACTAGCCAGGCTCGGCAAAGCCAAAACCACCCCAGTTTCCAACATCAGAAAACCGGAGCTCGGTCCCTATTATTTAATGTTAGTGTTTTTTTTTGTGTTCTTTTATAAATTTTTATAGTTGTTAACGTAATTATTTTAGTTTCTAAAAGTAGAATGTAACAAAAAAAATATATTATACACTAGTATTGTGAGTGATATAAAATTAAATGATAAATGTGATAATCATTATTCAAACATTATATCATCTAATTTTATGATATTAAGTTTTTTTAGTATCGTATAATTAAAGAATAAAATAGAAATTAAGATTTTCTTAACTCATGTTTCTATTTTATAAAAGACAAGGGTCAAATAGTAAAATAAAAATTGAAACGGAAAATTTTGAGTATAGAAACAAATTTGCGTTTATCTGAGGAGAGGGAAGGGAAGAACTAATTTTGCAGTCCGTTTTGCCTCTGATGGAGATGAGACTGCATTGGCATTTTTGGATGAGCATGATTGTTTAACATCATTAGTTTAATTATTTATTTTCTTTATTATTATTATTTGCATTTTAGTTTTAGTAGGATAATATTTATTTATCCTTATCCCCATATTCATTTCACTAGTCATTTTCTTATTAGACAAGTTATTTATTTAGGACTTTTAGGAGTTTAATTTAAATGACTCGTCTCCTATTTTTTACTTGGTTAAATTTTATTGATAAAAATATTTGAGAGTCTTTCTTTTGTTTAATCCCTTTTGTTTACGCTTTCACTACGTTAAGCAGCTACAACTTGATGAAAATATTTTATGTTTGGAAAGGTTGTGACTGGACTGAATGTTGTCAATGAAAAACAATTACGATCATCTGGTGAAAAACTATCCGGGCTCGTAAATATTGTTGATTGTGGTGAGATGTCCAAAATCAATGCACTAGATGCAGTCGAGGTCGATAAAGAGAAAAAAGAAAAAAAACCAGCAAGTTCGGATTGTTAGGCAAAATGGAAGAAGAAAACACCTGTTAAGACTGCTAATGCTTCGTACAAGCGGCATGTGGATGCACGTCGTCGCCATGTCGAGTTTGAGGTAGTCAATTATGTGTGGGCCGTTTTGACGATGAATATATTTTCTGCTCGTGCGAATACCAAGTTACTAGCCCGTAAAATTGACCCGATTGAGTTTGTGGTGACGAGATTGCGCCGGATTAGAGGGCGAATCCTTTTCGGGAAGGGGAGAATGATGGAGACAAGATTGCGTTGATCTTTTTAGACAAGCATGATTGTTTAACATCATTATTTTACATATTTATTTCCTTTATTATTATTATTTGTATTATAGATTTGGTAGGATAATATTTATTTATCTTAGCCCCATATTTATTTTTCTAGTCTTTCTATTGTTAGACAAGTTATTTATTTAGGATTTTTAGAAGTTCTATTCAAATAACTGATCTTCTATTGTTTTACTCAGTTAACTGAAATAAAACTTACAGAGAGTTTTCTCTTTATTTATCCCTTCGTATACATTTTCGTTAGGTTAGTCGCTGGTTGGAATAATTTCTCATACAAAAATTATATTTTCCAACTCAGTTGGAGAATGTCTGCTATGATTTTTTTAAGTTAGTATATATATAAATTTTAGGCTTTTAATTGTGTTCAAAAAGCAATTTTTTAATGTACATTATGTACTTAGTGGGTGTGAAGGGGCATTGTTGGTAATATTCGATAAATGAGTTAGAAGCATGTTAGATATCTATTACAATATTCCTAATCAAATATCGCTACAAAGCCAAAAAGACCACATGGTTTATGTTTTTGTGCTAAAGGTATATTCAACTCCACTCATTGGTGTATATTATGGAGTGCTTATACTTTATAACTCAATATATACTCAAAATATAACTCACTTTTAATTCAACCTTTCAATTTTTAATATTATTAATATAATTAAATAATATCAAACAATTATTCTTACATATCACATCAAATTTAATTAACTATTCATTTAATCAAATAATTTTAATTAATCATCACTTCACATCACATTCCTTCTACTTTTACATAAAATCAACTTTAATATTTTATTTTAAATATATTTTAATGTAAACTCAAAATCCCACTAACAATTAACCATACCACATTTTTTTTTCAAAATTAGCTCTGGTTAACCAAAAAAACTCTTTTTGAGCGGATATATTTGTATCCAAGCATGCTCTTAGTCACACAAATGTCCATTCCACCTCAATCTGCTTCAGTTGACCTGTTTTCTATCCTTGTTTAATCATACAAGATATTCTCTCACATGCTGCTAGAGCTGTTAAACGAAATGAGTTGCTCTTGAGCTCAACTCAACTCGGATCATTTGTTAAATATGCCGAGCTCGAGCTCGCTTAAAATACATTTCGTTGACGAGTCAGGCTTGACTCGACTTGATAAGACTCGAAAAGAGAACTTTTGCATAATTTCCTATAGTTCAACTCATTAAAGTTTGAGATCGACTTGTTAAGGCTCGAACTCGGCTCGTCAATATTGATAAACGAGTCGAGATCGAGCTAAATTTATGGCTCGTTTACTTTACGAGTTGGGTAGAAGGCCCGAGCTCGAGCATTTTGAGTTTGAGCTTGACTCGTTCACAATCCTACACACAACACACTGATGACAGATACTTGACTAGAAGTAATAAATCTTGTTTTCGTGTTCTGCTATTTGTGTTTTATTATCATTATATTCTTCTGTTATCTTGTTTTATTTTATCATAAACATGTTATCAAATTCAAATTTTTATATTTCGTATTTTTTGGTATGCCTGTGTTATTTATTTATACTAGTATCGTCACCTGTGCGATGCACCGGACATATTTATTAAAATATTTTAATATATATATATATATATATCATAAAAAGTAAATGACAAATAAATAACATCATTATTGAATTGGTAGTAAAAATGCAATATTGTATGTTATTACAAATTTTGAAAAATTTCTCTCTAGACAACATTTTTAGTAGTTTTCTTTTCTCCATGTATCGTCACCAACATTTTAATATTTTCAATCCCTTTGGATTAGTGACTCGGGAAACAACAACATATAACCGACCATGACTAAACACGAGTCTTTTCAAGTAAAGTCTGACATGAGATAACGATTGCCCTTGACTCTTATTGATTTTCATTTCGTAAAAAATTATAAAAGGAAATTGTCTACGCTGGAACTTGAAGAGTATCCTGAGATTAGATGAAGTGAGGGAAAGTCTTTGTACCAATACTTTATGTCCAACATTTGATCCTATTAGAATCTTACATTCAAGCACGTGAGTGGCAAGCTTCGTTACCGCCAAGCGTGTTCCATTACACGGTTCAATCAAATGGTCAATGTTTCTCAACAACATGATAGGAATCCCAACCTTCAAGTGCAATTCATGATTTGGAACACTAGAACATTGTGTGCAGGTCATGCAAGAAATCAACACCACCATCGAATTTGCATGTGCTGTCAGAACTTAAATAAGTACGACCCTCTGATTGATTCAAAAATGACATATATTCATTGATGGAATCAACAACATCTTATGTTGGAGCTAATATAGCTCTGTCTTTCAAATAGCTGGGATCATCAATGCACTCTTTAACCATTGGATAAATATTTTCCACGATGGTTGCGATGGGGTCATCAGAATTCCGTAGCAAAAATTCACCAGGCATGTCAATATCCGCACAACCATCTTAGCTTCCTCTAGTTGTTCCATCTCCAATTCTTGCAATCCACTCGGCAAACTCAACCAATATATGGTACTCTTCATTCTCACCATGTATATGAAGTTTTTAGTCAATCTCAAAACTCGACAATCTTTCCAAAGTTTAGATGCATTAATCGTTGCATTAATAATGTCTTGTCGACTTCCTTTTGGCACAACAGGTAATATTTGTCGAAAATCTCCACAAAAATTTTTAATTAATTATTTTTACAT